CCAGCCCCGGAGTCAGGAGGACCTGAGTTCAAATCCAGCCTCAGACACATAACACTCACTAGCTATGTGACTCTGGGCAAGTCATTTAACCCCGACTGCCTCATATAAAAACAAAAAAGAAAAAAGAAAAAAAGAAAAATGGAAGTGATATGGAGACAGCATACAGTACCCTAGGGGTTAAGGAGAATATTAAGGGGTTGCTTTTCCAGTATGTTGTGAAGCCCCTCCTGGGGGAGGGGAGCATGGGGGGTGGGGGTGCAGGGCTCATCCTGTAACTTGAGAACATCCTAAAGTCCTTTTCTCCTTATTTTGAAATATCATAAAATTCAATCCTTATCCTGTAACATAAAATTCCTCCTTATCTTGAACCACTATAGACTCATCTGGAACATCTACAGGCTATATAGAATTTTGCTATATAAGCCTAGCCCCAAATACCAGTTGCCTTACTTAGCCCTGTTGCTATTGGCCCGTATGCTTTAAGTGTCAATAAAGCTCCCACTGGCTATGAGAACGTCTAAGTGAATTCCGAATCTGACTTCACTAGAAGATTTCAACATCCCATTAACTCCTCAACCTTTTCAGTCATCAAAACCCTCTTCTACTGCTTTGTTGTACCAGTTAAGAGTAGATCACAAGAAACATGATCATCATTATGGATAAAACCAAAAAGTATTTAAGGTGTGAAATGACTAAAAAATTTAGCAAAAAAAAGTTACTGATGTATCACAATTATCTGTATAATTGCCCTTCTCTTTTAAATTGTAAGCTCATTTTGAGCAGGGCTGTGTAGTTCACATCTCAGTAACCTCAGCACCTAGCATAGCACTCTGAACATATAGACATTTCAAGTTAGTTGAAATGAATTGAATCTTTATGACCCCATCTACTTGTCTAACTCTGGCCATGTCAGTTGCTGCTATTTTCAAAGTTCAAATTATGAGACAACCATTACTAAAATCTATGAAGTGCCAAACTAGTCTTGCTCAGAATTGACATGGAAAGATGCTATGCATAGGAAGGAAAAGGTGGAGAATCCTTAGCACAAGACTAATAGAGAACTTGTGGGTGCACAGACCATGATTTTGTGTGAACCTCCTGAAATAGCAATGGTGAATATGGTGTTCATTCCAGTTTTCATTTTGATAAGTCCTTGCCAAGAAGGGTAAATAACTACTTATTCTATAATAACTCCCTAAAAATGATCACACACACAAAAAAATCTGTGCTCTGGAAAAATATGGCATCTACCATCAAAGTTTGGTAGACTGTGTAAAGTAGCTGTCATGAAAACTCTTGTTTAAAATGGTGGTATTAAAGCTATCTAAAGTCATATGAAAAAAATGATTAAATCACTATTAATCTGAGAAATGCAAATTAAAACAACTCTGAGGTACCACCTGACCCTATCAGATTGGCTAATATGACAAAAAAGGAAAATGATAAATGTTGGAAAGGATATGGAAAAACTGGAACACTAATGCATTGTTGGTGAAGTTGTAAACTGATCCAACCATTCCGGAGAGCAATTTGGAACTATGCCCAAAGGGTAACCAAACTGTGCATACCCTTTGATCCAGCTATACCACTGCTAGGTCTTTATTCCAAAGGCATCAAAAGGGAAAGGACCAATTTGTACAAAAATATTTATAGTAGCTCTTTTTGTGGTGGCTAAGAATTGGAAATTGAAGGGATGCCCATCAATTGGGGAATGGCTAAACCAGCTGTGGTATATGATTGTGATGGAATATTATTGTGCTATAAGAAATGACAAGCAGGATGATTTCAGAAAAACCTGAAGACTTACATGAACTGATGCAAAGTGAGCAGAACCAAAAGAATGTTGTACAGTAATAACTATATTGTTTGATGAAGAACTGTGAATGACTTGGCTCTTTTCTCAGCAAAACAATTATCCAAGACAATCCCAAAGAACTGATATTGTCTGAATACAGACTGAAGCACACTTTTTCACTTTCCTTTTTTTTAAGAGTCTTCTTGTACAAAATGATTAATATGGAAATGTTTTACATGATTGCATATGTTAACCTATATCTGACTGCTTACCAATTCAGGGATAGGAGAGGGGAGAAAGGGAGGGTTAATGAATTTGGAACTCAAAATATTTTTTAAAATGTTGAAAAATTATTTTAACATGTATTTGGGCAAAAGATAAAATATTATATACTTAGAATGGTTGCATCCCAGTTTTTGCCTTAAAAAACCCCCAAAACTCAAAATGGGACTGAGGGTCTCATTTAAGAGCTTAAAATGCTGTGTTGATGCTGGAACACACAGAAGAAATATTAGCACATGGAATTTCCCTTAGAAATAATAATTTTTCCAAATTATTCTCACTCTTACATTTCTGGGGCCTGTGCAAGGGATTTGGAACTGGTTAGCTTGAAATATGAAGTAGCTTTATATCCTGGAAAGAGGGAAAGAAATGTGAGGAGTGACAATATATTTCAAAGCACGTCTGGGCTCAGAAGGTATAGGACAGTAAGTCTGAAGTAAAGCCATTGAATGCTTGCTTTTTTTAAAAATACTTTGTAGTTTAGGTGTTGGTCAAAAAGGAAAGTAATTGTTTATTAAATACTTACTCTGTGCCAGAACTGTACAAGGTACCAAGGATACAAAGACAAAAAATGAAACAATTTCTGCCCACAGGGAGCTTATACTCTATACTACTGACCCTGAAGTATGCAAAATGCTCACACTGCAATCACATCAGACCAATTTTTTTGGGGGGGAAAGGGTTGGTGGGTAGGTAGGAGGGGTAAGGAAAGATGATGTATCTTTAATAATTTTCAAATGTTTGGCCACTGTACTGTAAACTCCTTTCATTTGCCACTTCAAAAGAATAGAAATGGAAGTGATGCCACAGTGGTAAAGGACACAAGCCTTGAGGCTGACCCAAGAAGGGAGAGTTCTATCAATTCTACCTCAAGATGTCCTATCCCTTTTCACTCCTACTGCAGTTTCCCTAGATCATACTTTCCTCATCTCCTGGCTAGACAATTAAGAATATTTGAGGCTTAAAATCCTCAGCCTTGAACTTCATTCATCACTACTCTCATCTGATGCTACTCAAGGAGTCAAACACAAAGTAACACAAGTCAAGCAACTTTCCCCACAGGACTTGGTTTTCCCTTTTCAGCAGAACACAAAGGCACTGAATTGTATTACTCAAATACATATAAAGTGACTTATTTCTTCCATTCTCAAAACAAGGACAAATCAAATGACCTATGTATTTTGTAACACAAAAATCCATCCAATGACTTAAAAACAAAATGAGGGGCAGCCAGGTGGCACGGAGGATAGAGCACTGGCCCTGGATTCAGGATGACCTGAGTTCAAATCCGGCCTTAGATACATAACACTTACTAGCTGTGTGACTCTGGGCAAGTCACTTAACCCCATTGCCTAGTGCCCCCCCCAAAAAAAAAGAATACCACTGTTTTCATTACCAACATTTTCTGGTAAAAACAATTTTTTTAAAAAATCCTTTATCATGTTTAAATACCATTTTTCACTCAGTAATCTGTTAACATGGAACTTAAATTCAGAATTTTTAGAGCTAGAGGGCACTTCCAAGATCATTGTACAGATGAGAACATTAAAGTGCAGATGGATTACCTGAATTGCCCATGGTCACACAAGTTAGCAGCACAGCCTTGAAAGGAAGGTCATCTGACTCTAGAACTTATGTTATATTCCCATTACTACATGATCATCATTGTCTTGAGGACGGGATTCCTGTTCAGCAAAAAGCTTGACGTAAATAAATACTCTGCTCACCAAGAGCTTCCCTCCCTGTAGCCCTCTAAATGCATGGAGCCTGCAGTTTCATGCATTACTTTACAATACACTAGTGGTGTACTGTGGGACAAAATTCTTCCTATTCCTTCCATGAGAAAAGTACACTACTACAGCACATGGCTCTCAAAGAAGGTGGTGGGAGGGGACAGAAAAAGGACTAAATTGCCTTTGGTGTTTCCCTTGCTCAGCTCTTTATTGAGAGCTTTATTGACAGGATGGGTCCAACTCAAGGCTGATTCTCCTAGGACTCATACCTAGAAGTGAAACTCAGAGGAAAGAAGCTGCTTTCTTTCTTTTTCCTCAGGAGACATCATTCTCTAGGAAGAAAGGCAGAATGTCACTGTTAGACCAGGAAGGGACCTTTTTGTACAATCATTTTGTACAATGTTCCTATTTCAGATATGGAAACTAAAGCCTGCCTAGAGAGGGTATGTGACTTGTTCCAACTCAGAGCCAGTGAGTACCAAAGCTGGACTTGGCAATCAGGCCTCTGGACTACCGTGGTTCCTTCAATCAGATGCCATGCTGTTCTGCTGTACTTTGTTTCCCAGAGTCATGCCTGGACAACAAATTTAATGATCACATAAAGTTTATTTAAAACATATTTAAGCTTTTATGTTAAAAAGGGAAACTTCCCTTTACATATAGCAAGTATCTAATGGTTGCTGAATTGAAATTATTCTGTTCTATAATGGAAATATTTCTCCAAGAATTGCTACTTTAAAAGCAGGTAGAGATATATAAAAATATAGCTGTTTTTTTCACTGTCACTGGGATTCAAAGGAACTTGGAGACTACAAAACCAGTCTAAAAGGACATCTGCCCCAATACTAATTCTCTTGGGACACTATGGGGTCTCTCCAGCAGTTCTAATGTCTATTTTCTTATTACCGTATTGCTCTCTGGAAGCCTAAGGAACAAGAAATTAGTGGTTTTGCCTGCCCAAACCTGGTTTGGATTTTTGTTTTCTTAGAATTATTATTTTTTTGGGGGTAGTATTTGTATTCCACAAAAAGATCATGAGGGAAATGTAGAAAATCAGGTACTGTCCTTTTAAATCAACTCTTTGTTGGGATAAAAAACAACCCGTGTATGCCCTAAAAGACAGCACGAATTGAAAAGCACATTAATATTTAGCAACATTTGTTGAGAAATCCAAGTTGGACAGCATGTACTAATTTTAGAAATGGATTTTATTTCATGCAAGTCTACAATTGCCTATATTTTAACAGTTGATCAAATATACATTCTTCTAAAAAAATTGTTACATCACCAATAATTTAACATAGTACAGGAAAAAAAACTGATTTTATTGTATGTCATAACCAAAACGGAAGGCTATTATGCAGACACAAGGCAAAAGACTGCTACTCTGCTAAGAAACAGCACTTCTACAGCCTTTTCTAAATACAAATCAAATATACACTAAAGTTTTACAGTACAGAAATTGCACAAACAGGTAAAACTTCCAAACAAGAAATTTTCAGATCATATGAAACTAGTCAAATAAAAGAAGTATCAGGTGAGAGATAGTCTGTCACTGAATTTCATGTAGTAATTAATAGCTGACTGAAGATAACATTGGCATTGTGCACACAAATCATAGCTAACCTACTGATAAATTATGTGCTCAGACATATCTGTTAATTTACAGATTGGAAGGAATAAATTAATAGTTTATTTGATTTTCATATGTTCAGATTAAAATAGAAAAAGTAACACCAACATAGTTCATCCAAGACATTATATTCCCAGCATATTCTGGTAAACCTAAAAGGGACTGGAGAAAGGGGGGAATCTCTTAATTTACTACAACTGATAGGCTAGAGGTACAGTTAACAACAGCAAAACACTGCTGTGGGGAAGGAGTCAAATGATTTCAAAATTTCATTTGAAAGCAATAAAATACTGTTATTTACAAAAATGGAATAGAAAAATTAAATGCTAAAAATAAGGGCATCAATGTGAGAACACTTTTGTCATTATATAATTTATAAGTGTAAATCTGACTGCAGGAAATTAAAAGGCAACTCAATACATTCCCGGCCTTCAAACGTGCAGCATTTTGCTTGTACTTTTCAAACCAGAAAAATCCATATTTCCATACCACTTTTCAATGTGGTCAGAAGCAAAGCCATTGTTTTACTGAGAAATAATCACCGTAAAAACGTAAACCCAACATGCTAAATATCAAAGACATTGGCTAGAGTGTCATACTGATAAATATGGTACGTTAGGTAGCCACATGGAGAATAATAATACCACAATTAACTCGTGCTGCCCAATAACTTCCAAAAATGTTATTTTCCATCGCATGTGTCAGTCCTGCAAAAGTAAAACACTTCTAACCACATGCAAAAAATATGATCAAGTTCTACTTTACCAGATCATTGCATAAAAGAGAATTTTTTAAGATAAATATATTAACTACTTAACCCAAGAATTTTATTGAAAATAAACTATATTCTTTTAGAATGAGAGAGAAAACATGGCAGTGTTCCTTATTTTCTTTTTTATTAATAAACTAGACATGCCTGAAAATAAAATAAAAATCATACTAATATCTAAATTAACAAATTCTCTGGGAACAAAGCTTGAGCATGGAATGAGTTGGGGGGGAAAGTTCAAACCTCTTCAGCACTGATTGCCTGGGGGCACTAGAATAATCTCAGGCGCCAACCACTCAAGGACAGACCAGTACCCAGATACTTCTGAAGAAAGGGTCCCAAGACTTACACTGCCCTATCCAGAAAGCACGGAGGAGCCACCCTGTCTTTGGTGTATTATGGTCTATCACTTGGGCAGAGATAGTTTCAAGAGAGGCAGAATTACTCTTCATTCTAGGGAACGGTGACGAGGGGAAGAGTGACTAGCTGTAAACAGGGAATCTGGGCCCTGAAATGTGTTTTCCTAAATCACAGATGTTTTTAGTTTTAGTAATGAAGTTTCTGATTAAGAAGAGATTATCATTAGAAAGCATTCTTTTTGCAAACAGAAGCATTATTACTGTAATTAAAAGGCTCAAAATTATCATTCAAATATTACCATTTTCTTTATTTGTAAGTCAAGCATTTTTGTTCAAATAATAAACAATCAGATTTTATGGTAGTAACCCAATGGCCTGAAGAAATCCACCTTTAAGTGTCTAAATAACATTCAGTTTAGTCAGCAAGCACAATGTCTTTCAATAGTGTAATGTACCTTTTCTATTTCAAATAATGAAACTGGAAGTCAGAACCCAGCTCTTTCTACAATCTTCAATGTTCTGAACATAATTTCTAAAACAATCATTCCTAAGTAAGCAGGACAAAGAGAATATAAAATTTTTTAAAAAATACTGGCAGTAACAGTTTTTAAAATGATGTTGTAGGGTAAGCCTTAGAAAACCAAATCACTTCTTAACATCCGAGGTTTCATAAAATATAATCTATTACTATGATTATCATTTAAATGGGACTTAGGGATTCAAGTTTATGAAGACCTCTTAAATTCTGACAGGACGCTGAAGAATAGCTTTTTGCTAATTACTGCTCCTATAACCACTTTCTGAATCTGAGGCAACAAAAATCAGAAACTATTTAAATTTAACAGTCTGAATTACATTATGATAGAGTGGTTTTAAAAAATATTTTTTTCAATATATTAACTTTTCAACAACTTCCCATGATGGTGCAATAAAATGAGGAAGACCACACGTCACTCAGATTTTGGTACTTACAATTTGACCATATACATCAAATTACACAGAATCCTAATATTTATTATTATCAGCATTTAGTTCTATGCTCTGTATTTCTTAATTTTCCTAACTAAAATGAGAAATTCTTTGTCAAAGGCAACCCTTGAGAGGCTTTAACTGAGCTCTAATCACATTTGTTTATTAAGTGCCTGTTTGTATAAGAGTAGTCTGAGAGAAGGTATTCATTTGGTAATGGAATTCCAAGTAAAGATTAGGACTAGGTCTCCATAGAACCAAAATAAAGATCTTCTAGTACGACCACTCTGATTTAAAGACAAAGAAACAGAGGCTGAGAAAGGGAAGTGAATATACAAGCATTAATTATGACTCAAGTGACTTGCTTAGGTTCATACAGCTAGTTAGCAGGCAGAACTGGGACTAGGTCTGAAGTGTTCTTTGTGCAACACCATGTTGTCCTCTTACTTTGTCTTTAAGGTTTCACAGTGATGCTCCTTTGACCATAAATATTAGAAAATACAATGTAGTGTGTATGGGGGTGGTGGGAGGAGAACCAAAACCCTATTTTTTTTCCCTTTAGCAAATTAATACATAGTAACTTACACGCTGTTAATGAAAACAATGAATTTGTTATTTCCTAGCATGGGTATTATTAATTATTAGTTTAACATCCTAGCTCTTTGGTTACTTTGGATCACTGTCATTATTGACTTCATTATAACCCAGGGAGTATTACTATGACTGAGACATGCTTTAAACATTTGCTCTGCATGTAAAAAGTATAACTATAATAATAATGTTCTGAAGTAGATACCATTAGACCATAAACTCATTGAGACAGACTTTAACTTTATTTGTAAATCTTCAAATTACCTAGAACCATGAGTTTTCTGTTTTCTTTCCTTTCTGTCTACACTGCCATTTGGAGTTCATGATAAAACCTGAAAGAAATACCACTACATTTAAGGGGAAATTTCCAAAGTAAAGCCACATGATAGAAAACATTAGCAATAATAACCAAGTAATTTTCACGTAGGTGGAAAAAAACACACACACACATTATATCTACAGGTCTCGCCAGAGAGGTGTGTTAGTTTCTACACAACAATAAGGAAACAGAGAGTCCATTTCGTGAAGAACATTTTTTCCATCCAATACTTTCAAGTATAAGTTATAAAGATGATGATGATGATAAAAGGACAGCTATAGGTCTTTGACTTGAAGTATTATAAATGTTAATCTAATACCCTCACATTATCCTTGTGAGGTAGGTAGATAGATAGAAATATCTTCATTATGTAAAATGAAGAAACCGAGGCACTGAGAGGTTACAACTTGCCCAAGGAAAATTTCCTGCTTACTGCTCTATGACCAACCACACTTTACAAAGGAAAGAACATAACTCAAAAAAAGAGTACCCCCCCAAAAAAACCTTCAATATAGTATGGCATACCTTCCCATATTTAGTCTGAATGTACTCAATTTCATTCTTTTTAAAAACTAACTAAAAATAACTAGATAACAGGGTTAACCATAATCCTTCGAGTACTTACATCATAATAAATTTATAAAATTACATAACACTAATTTTTTAAAAATTATGCTTTTTTGAAATATGACTTGGGGAAAGTTCACCTTTCTAAAAATATATAACCTACTAAATTGTGTAAGAAGTGGAAAATATTTCAAGGATTTCATTCATTCATATTCACTTTGCAAAATAAAGATGGTGACTTAAAAACTAACACAACTTTGGCTTAAACACGAAACCAGAACAAATTATTTTTTAAATGAGCATATTTGCCCAATAAATTATTTACAACCTATTTTGGTTTGATACATTTTATAAACCACAATATAAGTACTAATCTACAGCATCTTCTGTATTAGTATTTTGTTTTCTTTGAACGGAAAGAGCATGTGTCTTTTGTAAAAGCTTTACTGGTTATACAGGCACATTTTAAAATCTTGGATCTCTTTTTCATGTTCTTTGGATATCAAAAATATTTGCCATTAATGCACATACTTTTCCTTGAACAGAAGGCTCAGGAGTTAAGAATACAAAAAAGCACTGAATTGGAAAATTTTAAACTCATCTCCATCAAATTAAAACTGTACCAAAAAAAAAATACAAAGATTTCCAGCTACTATCAAAAACTTAAAAAGGAAAGACCACTTGATTATCACACATGCTAAAAAAGTACTAATGTTCCAATTAAAATATCTTAATTATACATGCAAAACACATTATTTGCATATAAAGTTAAAGCAGGAGGATTACTCTGCTCTTGTGAATCACGGATAAGCCTTATGTTTTAAGATATGAGTTCTGTGAATATAATCATCAACTTGATTTCTTCATTCAATAACATATCCTTGAAAAATGCTGACAAAATATCTTCTTTTTAATGACAAAATATATGCCACAAATGACAAGAAGAACTGTAGTGTACTACAGATGTGTTATATATTACTTATTATTTTTAAACTACCTTTCAGAAGAAAAGATTCATTTCAACCAACCTGAAACACACAAATGTTTTTGCATGGACTAATTTTTAATATGAATTAAATGGACATTCCCATTATCCATTGAGAGAACACATAAAAAGCTGCATCATATGCAATAAATTCTGTAAGAATGTGGTACTCTACACTACTTGATGAGAAATAAATTATTATACAAACTGTAAGTTCTGTATTTTTTAACCCTAACTTGACTTTTCTTCTTCCACAATAGAAAGCAAGTTCTGAGGGCACACCAATGTTACAAATACTTTACAACATGAAAAACAACTTGGATATGCAGACTTCTAACAGTTAATTGTCACCTAAATATTTTCAAGCTTTAGACATCATCAAATATTTTGCTTCGAGACATTGATAGATATCTTCCACCAGGCTGATACCTAAAAAACGAACATAAAAGAGTTAATTGAAAGGTTTTATGAAGTCAGGTTTGAAAAAAAAATCAAGGAAATATAAACAGTAAGGAGTGCTATAATTTAACCCCCACTATAATACATTATGCAAATTATTTGCTTCTGGAAATTGGTGACATTTGCTTCACTGTTCTTCACAGATGACAATGTATCTCCAGACTGCCATTTTCACTGGTTTATCCTCCATGGGTGGGATGCTCTCCCACATCATCTCTGCCTCCGGGATCCTCTGTCTTCGCTCAAGTCTCACACTGAGTTTTTACTCAGCTCAAAGCCTTTCCAACTCCTCCTTAATCTTCCTGCCTTTCCTCTGAGGTTACCCCCTGTTTATCCTGTACATAGCCTATTTGTACAGGGTTGTTTTCTATCAGAAAAAGGTCATCTTCACGGCCCCTTCTGATTGTCAGAAGCGTATATCTTTAAATTAACATCTGGTACAACAGACTATCAGCAGATATATTTTGACAAAATTATTTTTCTTCCTTACTCCTGGCCAATAAAAAAAAAATTAAGAATTTCAGAGAATGACAATCGTTGTTAATGATAACAATCAGAAACAAGGCTCAGAGTAGTTATAACAACCCACCAACCTTAAAGAAAAGATTAAAAAAATATGGACACAACTCTGCAATTCACCAGGGACAAATGGTCACTGCACTGGACCTCTTTTGTACACAGGCCACTTGTGTGTACCTATAACGGGAGGCTTATACCACCCTTCATGACAGGCACTTCTTTCTTCAGCAGAGGTAAAAGGAGTGGAAGAAAGGTATAGCTGGAGCTTGCAAACACAAGCTATCCTTACACCTTTATATGCTAGTTACTTGTAAGACAGCAACTTAGTGGTGCTGACAAATCAGAAGGAAGATACAGTAAAGATGATCTTTTTCTGATAGGTCAGAAAAATGCTACTTCAGCCTGCATTATTTCACCTAAAATTAGCCCTGCTATTCTGTCTGAGACATATAGCAAGGGGCACACAATTCACTTTACCTTTGTGAGAATATAAAATGCAAGCTGACATAAGGGACTTTTTGAGGAAAACAAGGGCCACGGATGGGTCTGTCTTTCTCTCTGTCACACTGTCTCTCTTCTCTCTCTCTCTCTCTCTCTCTCTCTCTCTCTCACACTTACCTTCCATCTACCATGTCAATCTAGAGCATGTCACAATAACTCGGGGTGGGGAACCTGCAGCCTTGAGGCCACATGTGGCCAAACTTGAGGACCTAGAGGGCCACAAGTGGCCTTGAAGCGCAGGTTCCTCATCCCTATAAGAGAACCCTTCTCAGTGGAAAAGTGTTGAATTACATTGTTTCTGCTGTTTAATAAGGTAGGCACATACACAGTACATCTCAGAAAGTTCAAAGCATAGTTCCTGAACAAACAAAAGGTGGAATAAATCCAGATCTTTGCAGTGGCTCTGAGTTAGTGCCTTTTCCACCTTATAGATAATTTGATAAAAAGCAGTTACTAAAGTTAAAAAAAAAAAGAGTCCCTTTCCCCTTTTTTACCTCATTCCACTAGCAAAAATTCATTTTAAAAAGGAAACAAAACTCATCTTTATTTTCTGTTAAATCCACACAAAATAAACTTTTGTGACAAGGGTAAAGTACAGACACAAAAACTTCTCAATGTCTTTATTTAAAAAACAGTAAAATTTGGTCAACTTTGTAGCAATTCAAATTTGCATAGATTCAAAACCTAATTCTGTTCGATTCACAGGTAACATTTCAAAAATAATTTTTAAAGTAGTAGTTATTAAGTAGATACTCAACAGTTTCCTTGATCACTCTCAAAATAGAACTATTTTTGGGATACTGTAGAAAATCCAATTAAGTCAATCTAGTTAAGACAGAACGTTAATAAAACCCTTTGAAATGGACGAATACTATAGGCAAAAGATAGGAGCAAACTCACCTTCCTGATTCAGATTCAAGAGGATCATCAGTGAACGTTTCTGCATTAAAATCAAGAGGTTCTGCATCTTGAAGTAATTCAATTCTATCTCTTTCAGTCCGATTATTAGATCTTGTATACTTAGATACTGCTATAAAAGGAAGTAAAGAGGGAAAAAAATTCACATTATTACTTCTTTTATTTGTGGATAACAGTCCCCTAGCATGAGGACAGAGTGGAGCCACAGTTACAATGGGCGTAAATTTTGAAATCTAAAAACAACCCAGTAACAGAAAAAAAAATAATAATGCAACAGCATAGCACCTTAAAACCAGAATAAGACTATAAATGAAGCATTTTAATAATTTCAGGGGCAAGATTTCATTTAACAGAGTATTTCTTCTTTTGATTCCCGACCGAGGTAACCTTTCCATGTCTCAGTGAATGGATAACTGAGTTGAGGAGGCAAAAAACAGCTGATAGTCAGCTCCACCAGTGATGTGACTCTTCAAACTTAGCTACCTGGTTCTCAGTTGCCAAAAAGAGTCTGCCACCCAGCTTGTACTCAGCAATTGTCCAGCTTGGTACAATCTGCCTGGACTTGGGCTTTTTTGGTTTTCGCCTTAAATAAATCATGATGAGAAATCAGAATAGGACTTTTGTGGAAAACATACAGCACAAAGGAAATCATTTTGGATGACTAGTAGGTAGCCCAAGCAAAGGAAGAGATTTTTAGAGTAGTTAAGCCACTAACACAAATCAGAATTAGCTATTTTATTTAGGCAATTTATTAATTATTTTTACTGAGAACAATGTTATTTTTTTAAAAAGTATACAACTGGTCAGAGAAAAGGAAATGAAGCAAAACCCCAATAGACTAATCATGAAAATAAAGTAATCTGAAAACTTAGGACAGGTGCTAACTTAGTTTATACAAGTCAGTATATGATATTCTCTAGTTTCTGCTCTTCTAATCCCTCCTGCTAATGCTTCTCCTACCCTGTAGCCCAGCTCCCTGAATTTGTTCTAAAATGCTACTTCCAACTATCTGTCCAGCACTGATTGTTAAGCTGAAGATTGGCAAGCAACATAATTTACTTTCCTAAACCTAACACAAGGCCACTTACATCTGTTAGTATTGGTTTCAGAGTAGTTTGACTCCTTCGGGTCAGTATGAACATTTCTATTCCTGGTGGAATCTTCTCGATTGTTTCCATAACGCTCTTTCCATTCCTTGAAAAGAAACACACAACTATAGCAAAAATAACTCACTGAAACAGATAAGAAAAATTAACTTAATTTTGTTTCATCAAAAGCACAATTAACTAAAATATATATACACGTGGCATGAAAGGCATTCTGTCAGTCCACTGAGCTTTATGATGTGCTTACTATGTGTCTAGTATTGGGGGTACAAAGAAAAGTGAAAAAAACCATGTTTGCTCTCAAGGAACTTACCTTCTAGAAGGGGAAAGAACAGATAAATACAAGATATATATAGATAAGATGGACGGTAACCAAAGGAGTAGGCACTGCAGTTGGGGGACTAGGAAAAGTATCCTGTAGATGGTACTGAAGGAAGCCAGGAACACCAAGAGAGATCCTGAGGGGAAAGCATTCCAGGCACAAGATGTAGCCAGTGCAAGGGCAGAGACAGCTTGAATACAGAATGCGTGGAGAGAACTAAACCATACAAAGACTAGAAAGCTAGGAAGGGACCAGGTTTTGGAAAGCTTTCAATGCTAAACAAAGGATTTTATTTTTAATGCCAGAGGAAACAGGGAGCCTGGAAGTTTACTGAGTATGCGGGTGACGTGGCCAGCCTTAAGGTTTAGAAAAATCACTTTGGCAGCTATGTAGGGAATGGACTGGAATGGGGAAGAGACTAGAGACAGGGATAACAATTAGATGGCCACTGCAATAATCTAGGTGAGGGGTGATTCGAGCTAGAATTAAAGTGGTGGGTTTGTGAACTGAAAGAAGGGGATGATACAAGAGAGGCTGGGAAGGTAGAAACAACAAAACTTTGCAACTGATTGGATATCAAAGATGAAAATAAGAAGTTAAGGATGACAATGAGTTTGTGAACTACCTTCAACACTCATAGGGAAGTCTGGAAGGAGGAGGGTTTTATAGGAAAGACAATGGATTCAATTTTGGACGTGTTCAGTTTGAGGTGCTTACAGGACTAGAGCTCAGAAGAGAACTGGGGTGGGGGGTGGGGGAAGAGATATATACCTCTGGAAGTCATCAGCATAGAGATGATAATGGAACTCATAGGAGCTGATAAAATCGCCAAGTGAAATAGTGAAGAAGAGAAAAGGGCCCACGACAGAGCCTGGGGGGGGGGGACACCCACTGTTATGAGGTAGGACAAAGACGAAGATCTAGCAAAGGAGAGTGAAGAATGGTCCAACAGATAGGAGAGAAAACCAGAAGCAAATCATATCATGAAAACTTGGAGAGAAGAAACAGGAGAGAGTAGTTAACAAAGTCAAAGGCTGCAGAGAAGTCAAGGATGAGAATTGAGAAAAGGCTTAGAAAACTCTAATAGTACAGCCACTTCTCACTTAAACTAAGTGGACTGTTCTGAAGACTGCCACCTCCCATCGTGGAGCTCCATATGGCCCTGCCCCCTCCAAAGCTCTATGGCCCTGCAGTGAGGAGCTGGACTGTCTACCAGGGGTGGGGAACCTATGGCCTTGATGCCACATGTGGCCCTGAGGCTGCAGATCCCCACCCCTTAAAGCTAAGGAGCAGGTGCTAAATTTCAGGGGTAGAGAGACTTCACATACCAGGAATTCTCTATACCAATGAAATCACATTGTTACCTCCCTGATCTCCTCTCCCTCCCCTGCAAAGAACCAGCACACTGCTTTGAGCCTAACAGCCATTCTAAATATTATTCGATTTGGTTTTAGTAAGTAAAAACAGCTTATATATACAAAGTCAGATAGTTTTAAAAGTATTTCCCAACTAGAGCTGTATCAAAACATACAACTCTTATGTTTTCCAAAAAAATCAAGAAAATACAATACACACCACTTACTATGTTTACCTATTTCGGTTAAGAGACACTACTTAAAAACTAAATGAAAACTTAAGACTGATGAGGTAATGAAAGCAAAACAATTACCTTCTAACAAAGTTATTACATAAATATCGACTATATTAAAATTATTTTCCCCAGGAAAACTAAAGTGCTCTAGAAATACAAAATCACATGGCACTAATGAGAACAATCTTGTTCTGCATAATAAACCTCTTTAATTGGAGTGCACTAATTAGAATCATATAATTTAAGTGAAAGAAGGCTTAGAGGTCATCTAACTTACTCTACAAATCAGCTCAGGGATAATTTCCACAGATTCTCTGAGAGCTTGGTATTTATCTTCTCATTGTACATGACAAGAAGCTTTATACCTATGGAGACAGGCCGTCCAATCGCTGGCCAGGGCTGAAATTTGATTGGTTGTATTTTGTACCCGTATGTCCTAGTTCTCCCTCAATGATGCTTTGAGCACATATAGACGATTATCACTTTTCTCTAAGTCTTCTCTACACCAAACATACACCTTTAGGAAGTAGTAACTGTGATTGGGCAATATTAATGTCTTTTTCTATTTTAAGAAAAGAAAAGTCTGGCTAAGCAAACAAATAGTATAAAAAATTTTCAAATACATTTAGTGTATAAGAAAGCATCAACTTTGTACAATGGTCAAAGCTACTCCTGTAACTGTGTATACATGTATACACCTGTATAGGTGTGTATACATAACTACGTGTTTATTTTAAATATTTTTAATGCAAGTTCAATAGCTCTACTATATGATAGCTTTTGTTAACCTGTTCACACGTACATGTAATTTTTAAAAACACATTTAATCATTACAAAAAAATCAATTTTTATTAATACGTACCACCCTTCCCACTTGGTCAAATTAACAAGATCTTATTGTGCTTTTCATTTAATACTTCCTAAAACAGTCTAAAATACTGTACTTACTCTTCTTCGATTTTCACCTTCTTCTTGCCTTTGCCTCTTTCTTTTCTCTAGAAAGAGAAAATTGTCAAATTTAAAATAATGTAGTTTAGTTAGGACTAATTAAAGAATGTAAAGGTGTTAAACTGGTGGTTTAAATCTTCTTTTAAAGAAAGGACTACAAAATTCTTCACTGAAAGTTACAGACCACTTAGTCCAACTTTCCACTCAATGGTGAATATCTTTTCTGACATCTATGACAAAGAGCCATCTGACTTCTGTTTACTTTTCCCTATCAAGAGATTTAATTACATTCTTCATAAGATGTAAGGTAAGCAAGAGACAGAGACAATCCAACATAGTAGCCTGGTGTTAAATAACCCCATAATTCTAAATAGTGGGGCAAAGACTCTACTAAACACAAATTATTGGAAAAATTAGAAAGCAGTTTGGCAGAAATAAGGTGTAGACTAACACCATTATCACAATTAATTATTTACCACAATAATCTCCAAATAGATACTCAACTTAAAAATAAAAGGCAAATAAAAAATTAATATACTAAAAGGAGACACCTTGTACAAGTAACTAAGGGAAAAATTCATATACAAAAGACAGAGGTGATAAATAGACCATTTTAGTTGCCAGAGGAAAAAATTAAAATCGATGCTACTAGAATAGAGTAGCCTTTGATTAGGGATATTTTTCACAGAAAAACTCTCTGACAGAGAGAGGTCTGATGTACAAGAAACCAATAACAAATACATAAGTACAAGTGCTATTTCCTAATAGATGTTATTAAAGGATATGAACAAGGACTTTTTAAAAGCCCAGCCCATCAAAAGCATACAAAAGAATGCTCCAAATTGCTAATAAAAGAAATACAATTAACAACTCTGAAGTTTCATCTCACACTCAAAGATGACAAAATAAACAAAAATGTTCAAGGCTAGGGGAAGACAGGCACATGAATGCAGTCAGTCAATAAACATTAAGTGCCTACTACGTGCCAAGCATTGTGGTAAGCTCTTAGGAATACAAAAAAAAAAAAGCAAAAGATAGTGCCTGCTCCCAAGGAGCTCACAATCTAATAGCAAAGACAATAAACAAATATGTAAGGACAATATACAATATAAAAAGGAAATAATTAACAGATAAAAAGCACTAGAATTAAGAAGGATTAGGAAAGGCTTCCTGTAGAAAATGGGGCAACAGAGAGCCACTATAGATTACTGAGTAGCAGGGAGTGACATGATCAGACCTGTGCTTTAGGAAAATCATTTTGGTGGCTGAATGCAGTCTAGAGAGAAACTTGAGGCAGGCAGACCCACCAGCATGCTACTGTAATAGTCCAAACATGAGGGGATGTGGGCCTGTACTAGAGTGGCGGCAGTGTCAGAGGAGAGGTGGTGTATTTGAGAGATGCTGCAAAGGTGAAATCGACAAGCCTTGGCAACTGATTGGATATGGGGGAAGAGAGAGACAGTAAGGAGCTGAGAATGGCACCTAGGTTGTGAGAGCCTGAAGAACTGGTAGGATGGTGGTACCTCTGAGAGTAACAGGGAAGACTGCAAGCAGGGAGAGTTTCAGGGAAAAGATACCAAGTTCCATTTTGAATATACTGAGCTTAACATTTCTACTGGATATTCAATTAGAGACATCTAAAGGCAGCTGTAGATGTGAGATTAGAGGTCAGCAAAATGGTCAAGGCAGGAAAGGTAGATTGGAGAATTATCAGCATAGAGATTATAATTAAATCCATGGGGGCTGATGAGATCAAGTGAGGTAGTACAGAGGGAGAAGAGGGCTCAGGAGAGCCCCTATGGGGCACATAAGTTAGAGGGCATGATCTGAATAAGGATCCAGGAAAGGAGAGGTCGGATAGGCAGGGAGAAAACCAGGAGAGACTGGTGTCATGAAAAGAATATCAAAGAGAAAGGGGAGATCAACAGCATCAAAAGCTGCAGAGGGGTTGACTTGAATGAGGACTGAGGAAACAACCACTGGATTTGGCACTGGTAACTCTGGAGAGAGCAGTTTCAGTGAAATGATGAGGCTGGAAGCCAAATAGTAAGGGATTAAAAAGAGTGAGAAAAGAAGGTGGAGGTATCGATTGTAGATGATCTTTTTAAGTTTAATCACAAAGGACAAAAAAACTATACGGTTAAACAGGCAGTGGAGATGGAAGGATCAAGAAGGTTTCTTGAGGATAGAGGATATATGGACATGTTAGTAGCCAGAGGGGGCAATGTGCTGGAAGGAAATGGGATGGGGTGAAATTGCTTGTGCAAGTAGAGGCATTAGCCTTGGTGAGGAGTAAAGCACCTTATCGTGTAAGACAGGAGGTGAAGGCAAAGATAGTGGCAAAAAGCATCTGAGTGATAGATGAGGAAATTCATGGCAGATAGTCTCCATATTTTCCTGCAAAATATGAGGCAAGGTTCTCAACTAAGGTCAGGGGAGAAGGAGCCATGGGAGATCTGAGGAAGGATGAAAAGGTTTGGAAGAGTGGCTGTGGAGAGTGTGGGACAGTGAGTTGATGAGGGAGGTATAGCAGGATTGCCTGGCAGGAATAAGGGCCCAGTTGAGGTTGTATAACATAAATTTGTAGTGGATCCAATTAGAACAGTTGTGTGATTCCTTCTGCCTGTGTTCAGCAGCACATGTGTAGGACAGTGTATTAGCTGAACTGGTTTGCCAAGGGTCAAGGTTGAGAAAAGAGGAGAAAGTGGTTAGTACAAGAGAGAGGGTGTGAAGTGCAGTTAGGTGACACAGTGGATAGAGCACTGGTCCTGGAGTCAGAGTTCAAATCCGGCCCCAGACACATAACACTCACTAGCTGTGTGACTCTGGGCAAGTCACTTAACCCCAACTGCCTCACTAAAACAAAACAAAACAAACAAAAAAAAAAAAAGAGAAATGGCATGAGAGAGAACTAAGGGGCTGAGGGGTTAAAGGTCACAGTGTGAATGAAGAACACCGTTTTGTAAGGGAAGGCAGAGGAAGAGGTGGAAAGCCAAGAGATTGTGCTCAGATATGGGGCTTTCAGAATTCTTGAACATAGAAATGATGCACTTGTGGGTGACAGCATGATCAAGGCTATGAACTACCTCTTTGTGTGGCTAAGGTAGGGCAGAGGAGGTCATGGTAAGTAGGTTGAGGAAATAAATGGTAGGGTACTTGAGGGAGAGTCAATATGTATGTCAAAATCCCCAAGTATGAAGGCAAGAGCTGAGGTGAAGACAAGGTACTGAAGGTACTGCACTCATGTGAGCCAAGTACTGAACTCATTACGGAAGGGGAACGACTTTGCAGTCTCTAAAGAACAACCACTAAGATTTTGATTGAGTGGTAGATATGAATTTCATGAACTTCAAAGGAGGAGAGGTTGCTGAGTGATGGAAGTAAGGGGAGAACCTGGAACTGGCAAAGGAAAGCAAGGCATATTTCTATTACTCTCCACCAGTGAGCCACAGGTAATGAATGAAAGCGTACTCAGTAATGGAAAGAGGTACCAGGCAATCTGTTGTCAGAGAAGAGTTAGGTTTCAGTAACAGCTAAAAGATGGAAGGAATAGGAGAGGAAATGACTTAGGATGAAAGGAAGCTTGTTTTCTATGAAACAAACTATACAGAGGGCATAGTGGAAGCAGTAGATAGCATTTGATTGGACTGTGGGGTACAAGGGTTGAGGGAATGGGAATAAGGAATTGAGAGGTAGGGGATAGGAAATGTGGTTTGAATGATGACCTAAAGGGATGTTTAGGGTATCAACAGGGTTAGAATATTCATTATTGTGTGGGAGGCACCACTCCTCTTCCCAGAAGAGGACAAAGATCAGGCTAGAGACAGGGCAGATGGTCACAACTCCTCTTCCTTCTGAAAGCTGGATTTTGGGCAGGAAAAGCTCAGAAGAAGATGGAAGTGAAAACTGAACACAGCAAGAAATGGAAGTCCTAGACCCCACTGACTTTCCTCTTCTTCCCGCAAGGCACAGGAAAAGTGAGAGATAGAAGGTCAAAGGGAAGGCTGTTCCTCTTTGCACTGGAGGTTCTCCATACCCAGGCTGGGAGATCAGGCTGACAGCAGGAAGAGGAAGTTGCCTCTCGCTACCACAGATATAAATATCACTGCTGGCCTCCAGCAACCTTCCCTCAGGGGACATGAGAAGCAGGAAATGGACTTTGGCAGAATACTCCAGAGACCATACAGACTCTCCTTAATGATTTCTTTTCATTTTCTTGCTTGCAGCTTTTACTTACTTCTGATAACTGCTTCTTAATGTCAGAGAGAGAGAGAGAGAGAGAGAGAGAGAGTGTGTGTGTGTGTGTGTGTGTGTGTGTGTGTGTGTGTGTGTGTGTCTCTTGAGTATCCCAAAACTGTAGTGCAGTTTTCAGCTTTAATAGCTTAGTGCCATCTACAAATAACAGTGATCTGTAAACCTTAAAGTACTACACAAACAGTAATGCCCTATATAAATGTGAACAGTCATTGCTTTAACAGTTAATGCTTGTAATGAATGTTTATTAAAATTGATTAGGTACTGAAACAAAATATTCTGACAAAAAAGATTTACTGAATAGTTAAAATGAAAAATGTGTCCCCAATTTACCTCTGAGGATCTATTCAATCCTATACTACTAAAAGGTTATCTAATACAAAAAAAAAGACATATTCAACCATAACAGCTAAATGTTTGTTCCCAATAACTTATGATACAATATTTCTTATGGACAAATTTGTAATGTAGCATCTTTGTGATGAGATATGCTTTTTAAAAAGTGTGTAAAATTCAGTGCTTGGAACATATTATATTCTCTACTCCTCTATCATATATGTTAAAGGACAAGTAGAGCTTTTAGTAAATACAACCAAATACATTCATGCATAATATCAAATTTTGAATAAGATAATGCCTAAAAGTTACACATCCACTCTATATAAGAAATTCCAGTTTCTGACTTGTCATAGTATTTTTCTCTTGCTTATTTTAAATATAAATCTTACCTCGTCTAATTAACTCTTTTCCTTCATCAACTAAGTCAGATGTCATATCATTATCTCCCATGAATTGTTGGAAACCTAGCAGATTCAGACAACGCGTTCCTAAACTGGAAAAAGGGGGGAAGGGAAAAAAAATAAAGCAGATTAAATTTATACTATGGCATAATTACATCTTAATGGAGGTTGGGCTTTAAAGTTATTAAATATGGTCAAAAGGAAAATCTCCTGTAGTCAAAAATACCCTTGAAAAAAATTTAAAATTACCCATAAAATACAGCTTATAAAAAGTTGGAGTTTTTTCTCTATATCCAGCTAAGCTATTGATTAGGAATACAACTCAAGACCTCTCAAACAGAAGAAAAAGCTTCTGAAAGGACTTCATACATAAATGGGATTACACTGTTTATTGCTCATGATTCACCAAGAGATAAAAACAGACACAAGGGAATACAGCAAAGGCCTTCTTATTGATCAAGAATGCTAGAAGGCCAACAAAGATCTCTCCTTTTTAGCTAACCAAAATAAATAGCACGAACGTAGGTATAATGCAAATGACATCCTAGAATTATATTCATCATGTGTGATACTCATACTATGGGAGGCAAGGAGAACTGAAACCACAAGAAATATCTCAAACAAGTATTTTAATAAATCCTCCACTGAGACTCTATGCAGCCAATACACTGGAACACAAAAAGTACCGACTCTGGAGTCAGACAAGTGTCACTTACTACCTATGAGATAATGGGTCAGAGTCACTTTATCTCTTTGAGACTCAAGTTTCCTCATTTGTAAAATGAAGGGATAAAACTAGATAACTAAGGTCCCTTCTAATTCTAAATATATAATCCTATGATTCCAAAAGGAATAAGAACCATTCATTAAATACAATCAATTTGTGTATTTCTGTAAAAACCAAACATGAATAATTCAATTATAGAATGCACCAGGGCTCAGATAACAAGAATATTTGAACTATACAAATATTTTTCAGTTTTCCTATTTCTTTTGAGAGAGCTAAAGACAATAATCTATTTTAAAATCTTCCATTTACTTGTAATATCCACAAAGCCTCCAACACTGACGTAGCATTTTGCTTTCAAAACAGCTGTACCATTTTGCAGATCCACCAACAATGTATCAGTGTGCCTATCTTTCCATACGCACAACTATTGCCATTTTTTGCCACTTCTGCCAATTTTGAGGATGTGAGGTGAAACCCAAGCATCGTTTTGATTTGTATTTCTCTTATTATTAGTGATTCCCAGCATTCTTTCATGTGGGTGTGAATATTCTGTTGTTGTTCTTTTGAGAACTTTTGGCCACTATCTTATCTCTATATAATGTTGCTATATCTCAGATACCAAACCCTTATCTGAGAAATTTATACAAACTATTTTACCCATATAACCATTTCTTTTAACCTAGATACATTAATGCTGTCTGCGCAGAAGTTTTTCAGTTTCAAGTAATTATTTATTTTATCTTTTATAATTGCCTTTATGTCATGTTGGGTAAAGAATATAACTCCTACCCAAAATGTGAGAGCTTTCTCTTCTAATTTCTGTTTTTCTAACTTTTAAAGATGTTTTTCTTTTAAATTTTTTCATAATAAGATCACAATACTGAAGTTGTATATATATTTAGAATTTATTGTGGAATATGATATAAGATTAAGCAGGGATACAACCATACATCCCTCCTTCCTGTTATGCCAGGCAGGTTCTTTTCAACAATAGATCTGGTTGGCTGTTGTCATTTGTGCTTGAAGGGGACCAAAATGACACCACTATGACATCATAGTAGATTCAGTGAATATCTTAACTGCCAAGAAAGTGGGTATCCAGCTTAGAGCAAGGACATAAGGAAGAAAATTAATGCTCATGCTCTAAGTTTCTTACCTAAAATAAGTAGCAATACAGAGAATAACAACCAACATAGGATAATAAATATAGAATCCGTCAGCAATAAAAGACAGTACTTTCATGGAACCCATAATCTGAAATAGAAGAAAATAATAAATTTAGTTTGATTTTTTTCCCTTTACATTAAAATAAAAAGACTATATTGATTATCAGCCAAATTAAATAAATAAATTAAATAAAGTTGCCTTTTCAATAGGAAGAAACAAATCATTAGGGCCACAGATTTAGAGCAAGAAGGAACTCAGAGGTAATCAAAATCCAACGTCCTCTACAAAATCCAGAGAAGTTAGGTGACTTACCCAATGTTACACAGGCAGTTAAGAGGCAGAACTGGGATTTAAATTTAAGTCCTTTGACCCCACATCCAGAGTTCTTTTCATTACACTAAGTTTCGTCCTTATTAATTAGTTTGAATATGTAAACTTATATTCCCCTTTCAAATATGGCTTATCAAACATTTATAGCAATGCTAATATCAGCTGTAAAATAACTGTATGGCAGACTATAAAAACAAGCAGTATTTTGAGATAATCTGAACACTAGACCTATTAGCATGGCAAATAAGAAAATCAAGCAAGATTATAGGTGGAGTTGTTTTCTGAATAAGTCTTGTAGGTGTCATTTACATTAAGATATTTAAGGAGAGAAGGTACCTATCATATAAATTTACTGGCATGTGGCAGGCTAGCTGCAAAACAGATGTTTTGGGGAATTTCTGGATTAGGAGTGAGATTTAGTAAGACTGGAGAGGATTATAGTTATCTGTGCATTTTCTGTTTGTGTGTATGCTTTTCTGTTATAATGATCTAGTAAGAAGGCACATAGTAGTGACCGTAGTGCGTGGTTATTTGCTACACATCTTTGCATATTGTGACCATACTTCCTACTAGCCTGGTATCTTATCTACATCAGCCTTATAGGCATATCATTTATGAGACTGCAATTCAGATGCAGTTGAGAAGTTTCCTATTCTGAGACAGCACTCAGAAACTCCTTCCCACCCCCTGAGGAGTTACCCCAAGGGGGTAACAAAAACAATTAAAACTACAAACAGGACATTTCCCCATTCAGTGTTAGACTACTTGCTTCAGAGATCAAATACTTAAATTAAACAAATTAAATCAAAATGTTAAAATTAAAATCTATTTTATGATTAAAAAACTGAATCACTTGCTAAGAATTATCAATTACGTAAATTTAAAGAAAATGTTGTAATTAAAATTAGAACTTCTGAGCCAAGAAACTACAAGGATAAGCTTCTGTATCACTGATTGCACAAGACATAAATTTTAGTATATCTCCTCATGCAAACCATTAGTCAAGTGACCTTCCTGAATGTTGTATTACAGTTCTTTTGATTAAATTTGTAGTAGAATATATACCATTTACTTACTGATGTATAAGCAGTTGGTTGAGTATCTTGGTGAGAGATTGTTGAATCCATGTGTGTCAAACCCAAAAAATTTAGACACAAAGGGGGAGTCAAACGACAGAATAACCTGTAGTAATAGAGGGTTTTTAAACAAAGTATATACATACTAAGTTCTTTTTTTTTTTTTGGCTAGGCAATGGGGTTAAGTGACTTGCCCAGGGTCACACAGCTAGTACGTGTAATATGTCTGAGGCCTGACTTGAATTCAGGTCCTCCTGACTCCAGCGCCAGTGCTCTGTTCACTATGCTATCTAGCTGCCCCAATATACATACTAAATTCTTAAAAATAGAACTACTTGAAAGATATTTTACTGAGAAAATTTTCTATCAACAAGATATTATTTTAATGACTGTATTTATTTTGAATTTTGAACATAAGCTGCCCTTATTTATCTAAGGATCATTTTGAAAAAGTTAGTAGTCATAACTGTCAAAGGCTGCCTGCTTTTGCTACTGCCTCTATTGTTATGCAGGAGGTAGGGGTGGGACACTGTAGAGAGGGAGCATTGGCTTCAGGAATGTAACTTTGTACCCTCTGATTCTCCTGTCTACACCTGCTCTCAGCACCATGGCACCAGTGGAAATACATACACAGATTACTTGTGTTGAATGTACAAAAACTACTTTGGTAATTTTTGTTAAATCAGAGAACAAAATATAGATACACAGTGTTACCACAGCACTCAGTTATGTGTAGATGAAGAGAGAAATTTTATCACTTCCCCAGTTCTGATCCCTCTGTCTTCTTTCTGAAGTCTAACCCTTTCCTAATCCCCATCTTCTTTTGTATATCTAAGAAACTGCAGCCTAACATAAATTTAATGGCGGCAAAGATTTTAGAGTTCATCTAGTTCAATTTCCTAACCCATGCAGATATTTCTCCTGTCTGACAAGTAATCACTTGGTCTTTCCTTCAACACTGTAAAGTGATGGGAAATCTACCATCTCCCAAATCAGATCATTCCACTGGGGGACTACTGTCTTTAGTTTCCATCTATTTCTAGGTGTAGTTCAAGGTAAAGACCTTTCAATCCTCAACTTAAGTCGATAAATATTTATTAAACACTAACAATACTGATTTTCTGGTCTCTGAGACAACAGGTCATTCTAATTAGTACCTCAATTCAGACCTAACTGTACCTCAGACAGTGATGTGACACTTTTTGTACTGCACATCTAAACTTCTGTCCAACTTCTAGAGCAGTTACCATCACTGACTTGTCAATAAGAATTTCTCCTACCAACTAATCCATCCTCATACTAACCCAGTTATTTGCAGGGTGTCCAAAGCAATAACATATGTATATTCAAAAATATGTATAGTGGAGAGATTTTTGTGGCGATTTTTAATCACCATGTACTTACATGCCACTAAAGAGAAGACTGTAAGCATCAGTCTGGTGATGTGATGCTAAATAATAATAGTTAAATACACGGATCCTGAAGACAGTAGAATAAACACAGATACTTAAGAAGAAGATGGAAAGAAAACATGCAATCTGAAAGCAAAGGAAAAATTGTTATATTTACTAACTTACACAATCACAATATTAAGTTTTGCCTAATTATCTTCAAGAAATGTACTCTGTAGGAGGTTTCATAATGGTTTTCATTGGCAAGAACTATGTCAAAAGAAAACGTCTATAAAAAACATTATATGTATATACATCACCCATAAATTAGATTAAAAGTATTCTAAATAATATTATTATAGTATTCTAAATAGTATTATTATAATATTCTAAATAGCAGTATTACAGATTTAAAAACCAGTACAGAACTATCACTAGGAAATTAAAATTATGAAGGGAATACATTTTGATCAAGTCGATATCTATTTGTAACCATAAAGCTCTGCATTTAGCCACCAAAGCAAATGAAGGTTCCTATTTCCTTAGTGACTCCTCATGTAAATATGAGGTCAAAATGTGGAAAAAACTTAAGTAAATTTAGCAAATATTTTATGCTCTCTGTGTACTACCTATGATTACTGTAGATTACTTAAAACTTATTCCCAAATAACATATTAGAAGCTTCCCTGCCTTTCACTATTACTTGGTGAAAGGGAGAATGAATGAAATAAAAAAATTATTCAAGGGATAGCACAGTTATTGTGAGGAAAGTGCTACATAAATTAGTTACTATTATATACTGATATGCACTGGTGTATGACAGACCGATGCCAAACTGACCTCAATATATATATAATTGTATGTTCTTTCTGCTAGTTGTATGAAGACTGCAAATAGGGATAAGACAGGTTTAGTGCTAAAGAATGTGCATTCCGACCACACGACAATCACGGAGAAAACAGCCAAAACAACAGCAAGTATCCTGTAAAACCAGGGCCTCAACAGACATTCCCAGTACCATTCTGGAAAACACACACAAAAAAAAAATTAAAAGGTTAAAAAAACTCACAAAAAGAAAAAGGAAATGACATAATTTCACTTGAATTGTTTTTGAGCTCAGATAAAATGCTTTATCATAGGCCACAAAGATTATAGAGGGACAGAGCAAAGAAGCAGAGCTCTCTTCACTTGCCAGAGGCTACAGCAAAACACAGCCACAGCTCACCTTGGCATCAAGGACAGTTAAGTATTCTAAGAATACTTCCCTAGTTGGAGAGTTAACTGTGGCAGAAAAGAAAGGATGACTACCAACTCAGTTTGTGAGGAAAAGGGAAATTTCCTCCTTCCCACCCAAAAGATTAAAGGTGAGAAGGCTTAGATTTTATGAATCCTGTATTCACATGATCTTAAGAATTTATAAAGTTTCACGTGATAGTGTAAATGATACATAGGAAATAATATAGCATATGAAACTAAAATGTTACTGAAATGTATTTATCATCAGATAGATGACTAGACTGGGCTGTCATTACAGACCACATAAGACAGCAAAACCTGAGTTTGTTCGGGATATTAATTCTGTAGATTTAAGGCTGTACATGACAAGGAAAAATCTATTTAAGTTTACACCATTTGGTTAAATAGCTAAAACTCAAGAAAACTATAGGTAAGAGAAAATTGTTTTCTGATCAGTCTGGATTCCCATTTCCCAAAACATCTGACAGCATCCTAAAATTTATTTTTAAGCAGCTAATACTAAAATTCATTTCTCAGCCAGAGATATTTATATTTATGTACATGCAATAGTGGGATTGGCAGGGGGCTGGGGGGGGGAAGGGGCATACACAGTGGCAAGAACAGAGAACCTTATGTGTGAAGATTGGAATGTATGGATAAAACAAGATAAATGGGCAAGTGGCACCTTGGCATGTCCCAAAATTATATCAAACTGGAAAAGGTTAAGCACCGTGTACTCTACAGGCCTAGGAGAAGAACAAAAAAAGCTCCAAAATGGTAGAATCAATTGTTTCAAGTTTTAATTACTGAAACTATAGCTAATATGGAGCAAAGGAAAAGTCTGGAGTACTTGCATATACAGAGTTAAACATCAATGCAGAATTATGAGTATGACTATATTAAATGAAGAATACTACAGTACTTGTGAGGTTGGGTTTTTTTGGCTTATGACTGATGACTACTAGCATAGCATAAATGGATATAAATGTCAAATAGAAACAATTAAACTATATACATAATTAGGAATACTATATGCATAAGAACAGGAAAAAAGGGACTTAATATCAATTACTTTTGAAATTTACAGTTTAGCACATACCGACTGTGGGACTATAGAAATACTGGATAAATCTGTTTTCTGGCTCTTGTGGTTGAAAAGTATGAACAAACTGGCGGGTAGCACTAGTTTCATTTTTTGCCACATCTTCGAGATAAAATGCTTGTTCCAAAAGAATTCGCCACTGTACTTGTGTACGACGGTGCCTCTGAACTGAGTAAATGACCTGCGTGAGAGAACATGAAGTACAGTTAAACATAAGGCACTTCAACAATAAGGAATGTTTAATACAAAAATTGTTAGGAAGATTATTTAAAAAACTGATGATGTATGAAGATAGTTTAGAGATGGTATCTATGCAAATCTTGCAGAATAATGTGTAGCCAGTGAAATGGACAAAAGATGAGCATAATCAAATCAAGCTTATGACTCACACTTAACTAAAAATTCTACATTTGCGGGCAATAGCTACAATCTTTAATAAATGAAATGGTTAAAATATTTTTTTACCTGTTTATGAAGCTTAACCAAACTTTTCTCACTTGGGTAAGTATTATGTTTTTCATCAAAGTCTTCATAGTCATCCATGTTCCTACCCATTTTCTCCTGGTATTCTGTAGGACACTATTAGGAATATATATATTTTTTAAAATGAGAACTTTTGCATACATAGAATATAAGTTTTTCTATTTAATGAAACAATCTGCATTTTCCATCATAGCTAACTCTCAAACCTTTTGCTTCCTGATTGGTATTTTGAATTCAATTAAAAAACATCAAACTTTTATTATATATTTACTTTGTATAAGACATTATGCTAAGTATGGAGGACATATGGGGGAAAAGGTGTTAGTTTCTGCTTTCGAGTTCCCCATTTATTCTACTATTGAAGAATTTGACAGGTAGGTGACTAAGTATAAGACATAGTTAAGAGAATGGGGACAAAGGAGAAATATTCAAGACAAAGAAAATCTGGGAAGAAAAAGAATACTTTTAGATAGTGAGGGGCAAGGGAGATTCAGGGAGATTTCATGGAGGACACAGGCACCTGCAGTGTGAGTCCTGAAAGAAGATAGAGATTATGAAATAAGGAGAAAGTACATTCCAAGTACTGTGAAGGATTTGTACAACTGAATGGAAACAAGAGGTAATGGACTCAGAGAACAGCAAGTAGTCCAATTTGAAACACTGAGTATGTGAAGAGGAATATAATAAAAAGGACTAGAAAGACAGACTGGTGTCAAAATGTATCCTAAAAGCCAGGTTTAAATGTTTTAGGCTATTACAATAGGAAGTCACTGAATTTTTTTGAACAGTAGAATGACAGTGTTAAGTGTATCTTAGGAAGAACGGCAAGGAAAAGAGTGAAAGCAAGGAAACTATCACAAAAGCCAAAGCAGGGATATGGACCTGAAATAGGGTGATGGCAGGTGAATAGAAAAAAAAAGATTTTATGGGAACAATATTGTTGAGGCAGAATCAACAGCACTTGGCAAATGACTGGGGTGGAATAGGAAAAGTGAACAATGAAAGATGAGTGATGTTTTGAACCCAAGTGTTGAAAGTCCAGGAGGAGAGATGATTAGTAGTTTAGGGGCATGCTGAATTCAAAGTGTCAGCAGAACACCCAGGCAGAGATGACCAACAGACAGTTAGAGATGAATTCAGGAGACAAATAAGGTCCAGATATATAGATCTGAGAGTTGTCTGCAGAGAAAAGCAAACAAGCAGCATGGGAATAGACAAGATTCCTAAGAGAGAGAGTGAAGAGAGAAGAGGACTTAGGATGAAAACCCATATAGGACTTACACAACAGTTAAGGAAACTGGAAATCCAAAGGGGTTAAAGTAACAAGCCCAAAGGCACAGAGCAGAGCAGATTTGAACCCAGCTTCTGTGACTCCAAATCCAATGTTAATAATGAAGAAGGAGACATGGAAAAACAGTGAAGGTTTGCAGGGTTCTCGGAAGACTTTTTAAGGGGCCACAGACCTAAGCATATCTGTAGACATTGGGAAAGTAACAAATTAGGGAAGGAACAAACAAATAAGGAGCGAATAAAGATGGAAAGAAGAGAGGGGTGATGATGGTCATGTGTCTGGAGGAAAGAAGAGCTTAGATTCTGGGGCACAAGGAAAGGTATTTTTGGCCCCTTGGCAGGGACAAAGGTCACCTCTTCCTCTGAGGTTGAAACAAAACAGAGGATAGGTGGAGACATAAAAAAGGTTTTGGTGGGCAACAGAAGAAAAAAGGAGATCATCTCAAAATGCAGATCAATTAAAAAAAAGCACAAGTCTACTGAGAAAGGGAAAAACCAAGAAGTGGCTGCTATGGAAGTATAAGCAATAATCAATCAAAAATGAATACAAGGACTGGGAAAGGCCTCCCACAGAAGGTGGGATTTTAGTTGAATCTCAAAGAAGATATGGAAGCTAAGAGGCAGTGATAATGGAGCCAAGCCTTCCAGGGGTGAAGCACAGGTAGTATAAAGGCACAGAGAAGGAGATGCTAGGGCATGGTCGAGGAAGAACACACAAGCAGTGTAGGAAAGTGTTAAGAAGACAGAGGTGAGAGGAATGACAAGCACTTTTCTAAATGCTAGATTTTTAATGTTTAAGAACTGGTAAAATTATGGAAAAGAAAAAAAGATCCCACTATATTCTACTCTCAGAATACTTGCTGGTTTAAATTTATTTCTCAAATACATGATTAACACCACAATTATGATCTTCACATATATGTTTCTAAGTTTGGAGATTTTTAAAAATTCTTATTAAGAAAGCTAGTAGTGTTAGGGTTCTAAAGAATAAGCACATGATGAATTCATCAGTAACTTTAAAATTTAGGCATATGTGCGGGGCAGGTAGGTGGCACAGTAGATACAGCACCGGCCCTGGAATCAGGAGAACCTGAGTTCAAATCTGGTCTCAGACCAGACATGTGACATTTACTAGCTGTGTGACCCTGGGCAAGTCACTTAACCCCAATTGCCTCTCCCTCCCTCCCCAGCCAATAAATAAATAAATAAATAAATGAAGAGTTTAGGCATATGGAAAAATCTAACACATTGATTATTTAATCGTGAGCATCCAAGATATACTTTTAATGGTTCATTTCAAACAATAATAAAATAATGTAGAAGGTACTTAACATATCAATTAATCCATCAAGTTAAGTAACCATGGAGATGTGTTCAACAGAACTGACAGAAACACTAGAGGCTTAAGTTACTGATAAAAAAAAGAAAATGGCTACATGGCTAGAGTTAAGCCATGTGACCATCTTTCATCTTTACCAAAGTCAACATAACTGTACAGGTAGCAAGACAGAGAGCTTAGAATATGGAGGAGAAAAGGGAGCATGTCCCTAAATAAGTATACAGAAGATACATTTAGTAAATCAGATAATTCAATTTTTAGAACTACTTGGATACACCTGCTCACAATAGTGAAGCATCAAAGTACTCTTTGCTATTCTTTCACTCATTTCATGCTGTATGTTGTGCAAACACTAATGAGATGATAAAGGGGAAGCTAAATCGTCAAACATAATTAGATGTATTTTTTTTAAAGAGAGATATACTTTTAGTAACCATATATATGAGCATTGTGATGGGCACAAGAAACAGTTGCTACTCACATGTAGCAGGGCACAATTCACTATCATTTTGGCTGTAGCACCTCCTCTACTGCTTACTATATAGTAATGTGAAAATATTTTGTGTAAAGCATATTACAACAAAAGAACAAATTCCATGTGGAAACAACTAAAAAGAAATCCAATTAAGCTAAATTCTGTCCAAAGTTATGAAAAGAAAAAGGATATACTTTTCATGTTCTCCAGCTACCTACAGTTAAGGCTGGCTATCTAAAAATCACAATCATGGCATTAAAAACAAATTTTTGAAAAATCTTGGAAAAGGTTATAGAGTTATATGAAGTTATAATTACTTTCAAGTGTTATGAAAAATCTTAAAATCTGTATCATTAAGAAAGTACATAAAAAAGGTATCTAGGACATAATAGCCACTTAATTACCTTTTTTAATATTGTATCAACACATTTTCTCAAAGGGTGGTTATACTTAATGCTTTCATTGACTTTTCGAACCTCCTGTAAAACAAGAAAAATCCAAATGTTTCCATTTCTTTAGAATAGTAGGTTAAACTTCAAAGGCAGATAAAGTATAGATGACATAGGTGGAAATTACTTCCCATGTCACATATCTTAATGTTTTCTATTACCATATTTGTTTTGGACACTATGCTTTGAAGCCTAAGTTTGCATCAGCTTTTTCTAAGACAATAGAAAAAATTCCTTCACTACTACTTAAAAAGACAGACCAAAATGAAAACCCACAAGATTTAATATGCAAGCCTTTTAACTCACAAGTTAATATTTTATATTTATCGTCTTCCATATCATGATCGAATATAAACTCAGAAAAGCTTGTACGTGCCACAACTAGTACACAAAGACAAATATACAATTAAAAAAAGCTATATAGCACAACAGGAACCTTTGAAATACCTCTATTCTCAATGCTGAACTATGTTCCCTAATGCAGTAAATGCAGCAAAACCCTCCCACATTACCTGATCAATTATTAGGTAACTTGAAATATCCAGAATATGTCTAAGAATACTATAAGAAGCATGTTCTTTTTTAAAATCTGACCTGTAAAAACAAAGTTCATGTACTAAAATGCATGTATCTAACAGGAGAAGACTGATCAAAATTATCTGGAAAAGTTTTGAAAGATTAGGTTGTTTCAGCATAGGAAACAAAATACTTTTGTGTTTTAGCATTAATGGATAACTGATAATTTTGCTTGGTAAATAGTATGAACTACTTCTATTAAGCATACTAAGAAAATTTATGATCACATCTAGTGACAACAGGACACTGCCCCTTCTTAACCCATTTTTCTTGCTTGCAAACCTACAAAAGCTATAGATGATGTCACAAGCCATAAGACAAATACTCAACTATCTTCTAAAAATAATACGATCCTGTTTAAAAGTCCTGTTTTTACCAGCGTGTTTTTAGAAATGGAAAATTAGCAAAAGCATTACTTAGTATGTTTCAGAAGGCCTAACTTCCTAAGATGAAGCATAACTTCCTCAACTTCAACAAGCTCTACCTCCATTCTAATTCATTCACCCACCAGGATAGTCATGTCCTGTTATCTTAATATCATTTGAAACTTCTCCTCCTCCTCCAAAATTCTACACTGTTAGGGGAATTCCAATTTCTTGTCCTTCCACCTCTCCCACTCTGTAAAATTTTCCTTCTCCTTTCCCACCAGCTTGCTCACTATTAATCTATGACCTCTGTTCTGCCCTCACTTTCTTCCTTACTATGATCCTCCACTTCCAGAATGCCCTTTCATCCTGGAATCCCCTGCCTGCTTGCCCTCTCACCATTCCTTCCAATCTTCAAACCAACGTAATTTTTTAGCACTCACTATCCTAGACAATATTATGAAACTAAGCTAACTAGGACCATGAAAATTTTATGTTATCTAGTCTCACAAGTAGACCTTTACTAGTGTATGACAATACTCTTAGATCTTTGTTGCAAAGTTTTTGTTTGGTTGGTTGTTTTTCCAGTGGAGGGGAGAGGAGTAGGAGAGAGGAAAAAGTTTTGAGAACTGTAAAAATAAATAAATAAAACTTAAAGAAAGAGCAGTCTACATTTGCTCCCTATACTACCTCAAAACCTCTTGTAATCTAGGTACCAAACCCCAGCAGTCTACTGAAACAGTAATCTTCAATATCCCTCATGACCCCCTTATCATTAAATCTAATGACCTTTTCCCACCTTTGCTTATCTTCCTTGGACTCTGTACAAACAGCACTGTGCACTAACCTTTTCTTCTTAATATCCGCCTCTCTCTTAACTTCCTGGCCAATGCACCTCCCAGTTCTCTTCCTTCGGTTCTGATTACTCCTTTTCTGACTCTTTCGCTGGCTCCTCATCTTCTTCCCGTTCTTAAGTGTTACTATCTTGTCCTTCATTTCACCCTCTTCCTCTGTGATCTCACTGGTTCCCATGCTTCAAGTACCACTTCCATGCAGACAGAGTTCACTCAAATCTATATTTCCATCCCCAACCATTCTCCAGCGCTCCAATTTCACGTTTTCCAATTGCCTGCTGGACTGCTTTACTTTGGAGCTCTGATGACACCTCAAAACTCTCTGGCCCCAAAATGGAATTCAGCTTGAAAACCCACTCTTCCCCATGAACTTTTATACTTCTGTTGGTGTTCTCACCACACCTGGTCTCATTAGCTCAGTTATCTCTGGTCCTTCCTTTACCTTTGGCTCACATGTCTGAGCAACTGACAAGTCCCATCGATTCTACCTCCAATACAGTCACCCTAATTCAGGCCAACATGCAGAAGATGGGAGGGAGAGTGAATACAGTGAGAGAAAAAAATTAGAATCTGAAAGGATCTCAATTGTGTGAAACAATGGGTCAGATCTCAACAAGATGTTGCTTAACAGGAAATAAAAGTGAATTCTTTCACTTTACTCTGAGCTTCTATTTATATTGTCATTAGTGTAGCTATACCATTCCACATTCCTACTGATATTTTCTCATGAATTTTGCAAAAAGGTTTAATCAAAAAAATCTTTGTTTTGTTCAAAACTCTATTTTTTAGAATCAAAAAATTCAACTGGAAAAATTGAAAATAGATAAGAATATGGCTTAGTAGCAACTCAGATGGAAAATGCATAGGGTTTAACTTGACAGTTAAGCTTTTTAGGAGTTGAGGTAGTAGAAGAAGCACTGAATCTAAGCCCAGGGTATACTGTAGAATCTTGAGTAAATTTACCTGAGTCTCCTCATCTATAAAATGTGGAGTTTGTTCTGGGTTGAGTTATAAGGTCCTTTTCAACTTGAAAGCCAGTTTATAGTATATAATACAGCTGCCCCAAAAGGCTTCAAGTATAGTGTTTTTAACAAGAAAAGTAATAGACAAAAATCATGTTAGTCAAACCATAACTGAAATTACCATATTTTAAGAGTGACAATGGAAAATTAGGTACACAGAAGATGTCAGAAAGTTTCAAAGTATGCCATTATCATACGACATATTGAGTCAGGGAATTGGAGATGCTAAGACTGAAAAGAAAACACAGTAGTGAACATGATAGCTGTCTTCATATATTTTATCTATATTTATCTCTTCATCTATTTCTACATGAAAAGGCCATCATGCATAAGATAGCACTAGGCTTGGGAGAATTTGTTGTGCCTAACTATGCATGTTTTGCGGGGGGGGGGGGGTTTTCTAATGGGGAGATGGGAAGGAATAAAAATGGATTTTTGCTCATTGAAAAAAATTAAATTTGTTCAAAAGAATGTTTTTAATGACAAGGCCCCAGTCTCTTACCCCTCCTCCTCCAAAAAAAGAGAGAAATGGCATTAGGTTTGCTGTTAATCTCCAGAAGGCAATGGACAATATATTACAAAGTCACATTTCTGCTAGATATAGAGATTAATCTCAACAACTGGATCCATACCAAAAAAAGAAAAGGAAAAGGCTACCTTGCAAGGCACTGGAAGTACTTAAGCAAGAAATGAGGTGACAACCAGCCATTTATGTTTTAAAAGGGAATTCTTGTACTAGAAAGCAGTTGGACAAGAGGACCATAATACTTCTGGCATCTATACAGTCTTCTTTACATCTACCATAAACATCCTAGTTCAGGGTCTCATCTCTTCTTGACTATACTGTTCTAATATCTTTCTCTCCAGTTCTTAGCCTGATAGTAAGACCCTGACTACTCTCCTAGTCTTAGCTCCTACTATTCCACAACAAGAAACCACCTTTGAGCTATGTTTAAGCCATTTCTTCTGCCTATGATACCACTGCCTCTACACCTACCCATTCTAATTCATCTTTCAAAACACAGCTCAAATATTACCTTCTTCACATCTTCCCTAGGCACCACAAGTTGAAAATGATCCCTGTTTTTTTGTATTCCTAGAGCATTTCTATAAAACAATGACTATTTTAACACTTGCATATACCACACAACTGCCTTTCAGGAGGTGGGATCTGTGCCTTGTCCATCTCTGTATCTGGAACACAGTGAGCAGTCACTCAAATATCTTTCATATGCAGAACTTAAATCTTTTATAATCTTCAAGTATGATTTACATATGTATCTAGAAAGCTTTGTAAGATATTGATTTCTCTTTATAAACATACTCTGGAAGATATACAAACCTGAACAATACAAAGTTGAATGTCTTGATGATTGTGTGACCTACAGGGATCTGTTCTCCCTGTATTCACTGGTACAGACTGCAAACTGTATCTGTTTTCTCATCCAGTGTGATTCTTATTCATGTCTTGCTGCAGAGCCACACTAAAAGATCTATCCAATGCACTGGAGGTCTTCTCTTTATTTTAATATTTCATGTGCATCAACTGGGCTATCCATCTGTTATCCTTTACTCTTATTAAATGAATAGGTCTACCTCTTTATCTGGCCATGTCTAGTCATTTTATCCCTTCCCAAAGACGCTATAGCCTATTCAAACCCCTTATCTTTCCACTGTCTAATAGGGTTTGCATTGAGATCACTTTAAGAAACAGCAGAGGACAATCTTTCTCTTAAGTCATCCTTCATATAAGTGTCAAAGTAATCTTCCTAAGGTAAATGGTCTCACCTGGTTGCTCTCCTGCTCAAAAATTCCTAAGTAGCTCTCTACTCTCTGTCTACCCTCCACATATTCTATGTTCTAGAGAAACTGGAGTACTCACTGTTTCCTGCATTTGAGATTCCATGTCTGTCCTAAATACATAAGCTCAAGCTATTCCAAAGCCTGGAATATGTTTCCTCCCCAGCTCTGCCCTTCAGCATTCCACCAGTCTTAGCCTCCCCGGTAACTAGGATTACAGACAAATATTATCATGCCAAGCCATCATCTATATTTTCCAGTGTTTCCATCTCCCTTTACCTTCCAATAGAGCCATCTCTTTTAACAATGAATTAAAAAAAGGGGGGGGGATGAGGGACTTTTGGAAAACGGGCACATTGATGAACTGTAGTTGGAGCTATCGTCATTTCTGAAATGGAACTCTGCCTCTAAAGTCAATAAACTGTGTATACCCTTTGGCCCAAAGAGCAATACTACCAGGCCTATAAAGCAAAGAGATCAAAGAAAGAGGAAAAGGACCTATAGGTTCTAAAATATAAAAAGTCTTTTGGTAGTGGCAAATAACTGGAAATTAAGGAGGGTATGCAACATTTTAGGAGTGGCAGATGAATGAGATGGCTTCAAAGAAACATGAGAAGATTTGTAAAAACTGAGCAGAGTGAAGTGAGCAGAATCACAGTAATTTTATAAAAACACCCAGGAAAGTCTTAAGAACTCTGATCTATTCAGTGACCAGCCATGACTCCAGAGAACAAATGATGAAACATGCTCTCCTGAGAAAGAGGTGATGGACTCAAGATGTAGAATGAGACACACAGCTTTGGACACAGTCAATGTTGGAATTTGTTTTGCTAGACTATGTATGCTTGTAGCCTCCCCCTCTCCCAGCATTTGGGAGGAGAGGTAGGAAGCATACAAATAAATATTAGCTGAAATAAAGTAAAATAAAAGTTTAAAAATATACAAGAAATATATGGGCTAGAACACTCAATGACTTTACCTTAATTATTTAATATCTCTCAGATTTCTGTGAGGAGCAAATATGGCAAGTGTTTTGTAAATCTTAAAGCACTACATGAATATCATTGTTTTCATAATTATCTACCAAGACAGCACTGAGCAAATCATCTTAAAAATGTTTTTGACGTGAATTTTTTTTCTGTACCTTTTTCTTAACCTCTGAACTATAAGGATGAGATTTCCACTCAAGAGAATTTATTAGCTGTAGTATCTCATGAGATTTAGTGGCCAATATGAACATACAGCTAGAGGGCATGGACAAGGTATCTTGGAGGATTACCTATTGCCTAATTTTCAGAGTCCTAAGCCCACCAGCATATTATATTAGTTTCTAAAAAGTGACATATAGGGGCAGCTAGGTGGCACAGTGGATAGAGCACTGGCCCTGGAGTCAGGAGGCCCTGAGTTCAAATGCGGCCTCAGACACGCTATGCGACCCTGGGCAAGTCATTAAATCCCAGTGCTTAGCAAAAAAGTAGTGACATATTACAGGCAATTTTCTCAATTTCCATGGGTAGAAATGCTTACTATAATTCAAGAATATCTACTTACTTCCATTATATCTTCTAAATTCTCTTCAGCATCTGCCTTCTCAGTCATCAGTTTGGCAGCCTTAAAATATGTCTTCATAAGTAGGTACCCTCTCTTAGCTCCATTCCAATGGGACCGAGGAATTTCCACCAAGCCATACCCCAACAATAAAACAAGGAGAAACAGACCCCATGTATTGGCAGCAGCTATCCCAATTGTCTGAAGCTGATTCCTAAGGAGAAGAAATTATGATCAAATTATTATTTCTACAATTTCACTACTCAACTATGACAGATGAATGAATGAATATATATTTGAATAGTACCCAAGACAGAACTTGCTCCCTCCTTCAAGAAAGTTCTTTATTTTAGACTGCTCTAATTATTAAAAGTATTTTTTTAACATTGAACCAAAACACTATTTGTCTTAGATCCACCCTCTGAGGCCAAACAGAATGATATTTTTTCATTTTACTTTTCTTGCTTTATTTTTGGCAACATGGTTAATACGAAAATGTTTTACATGACTTCACACTATATAACGGGTATCCAAAGGCTTACCCTATCTCAATGGATTAGAGAAGGGCAGGAAGAAAAGAATTTGGAACTCAAAATTTTAAAATGAATACTAAAATTTTATTTTTAAAAAAGAAAAATAGGCAACACAAACAACCAAATTTATCTTATCTAATCTCAACTGGACTCTTGCTGCAGGAAAGTACTCATTCTACTCCTCCATAATCCATTCGTTATTTTACTTTCTACTCTGGCTGTTTCAAACCTTGTCTCTACTCAAACCTTTCATAGCAGCTTTGCCTTTAACCCCGTCTACTGAGGACCTCTCTTCATATTTCATTGAAAAAAATTTGAAGTCATTTGCCATGAGATCTCACTTCTCCCCTTCTCATCTCCCATTGCTCAGACATCTTCCCCCACTATCTCCTCTTTTTCTTCACTCTCAGATAAAGAGGCTGCTCTTATACTTATCAAGGACAACCTTCTACATGCACCTTTGATCAAAACTCCTCCCTTCTTAAAGACTGCCCCTGTTATGCTCCCCACTCTCTCTCTTATCTTCAATCTATCTCTTGTCCTTCCCTGATGCCTATAAATATAATCATGTCTCATCTATCCTCAAAAAACCCTCAATCCTACTATCTCAAGTTATTATCCTCTCTCTTCCCTTTCTTGGTTAATTGAATTCCTTGAGAACGTCACCTATTTTTAGGAACCTCTACTTCTTTTCCTCTCAATCTCTTCTAAATCCTCTGCACTGTGGTTCCCAAAATCATCATTCAAATGAATGGACATGTCTATTTTGGACAAATTAGACAGAAGAACTTTTATAACATCAAAACATATTTGTAAGTGAATACTAATGTGATTTAAATGTAAAGTACTTAAATCAAAATACAAGAAAAAAATTAAAAACCAGGAAAATGAATTTGATAATTTAAAAAGCACAGTTAATAGTATATGCATTCAGCAAATCAAAACAACTCTGAGGTACCACATCACACCTATCAGATTGGCTAGCATCACAAAACAGGAAACTGATAAATGTTGGAGAAGATGTGTGAAAATTGGAACACCAATACATTGTTGGTGGAGTTGTGAAACAATCCAACCATTTTGGAGAGCAATTTGGAACTATGCCCAAAGGGCTATAAAAATGTGCATACCCTTTGACCCGGCAATACCACTTGTAGGTCTGTATCCGAAAGAGATCATACAAATGGGAAAAGGACCCACACATACAAAAAATATTTATAACAGCTCTTTTTGTGGTGGCCAAGAATTGGAAATTGAGAGGATGCCCATCAATAGGGGAATGGCTGAACAAATTGTGGTATATGAATGTAACAGAATACTATTGTGCTATAAGAAATGATAAACAGGTAGGCAGACTTCAGAAAAACCTAGAAAGACTTGTATGGGTCTGATGCTGAGTGAAGTGAGCAGAAGCAGGAGAACGCTGTACACAGTAACAGCCACACTGTGGGATGACTAATATTGATAGACTTAACGCTTCTCAGCAATACAAGGATTTAAGACAACTCCAAAAGTCTCATGATGGAAAATGCTACCCACATCCAGAGAAAAAACTATGGAGTTTGAATGCAGATCGCAGCATACTATTTGCTCTTATTTTCTTCTGTTTTGTTTTGTTTCTTCTTTCTCGTGGCTCCTCCTATTGGTTCTAATTTTTCTTTATAACAACTAATGTAAAAATATGTTTAATAGGAATGTATATATAGAGCCTATATCAGATTGCACACTGTCTTGGGGAGGGAGGTGAGGAAATTGGGAGAGAAAATTTATAACTCAAAAGCTTATGGAAGTGATTGCTTGAAAACTAAAAATAAATTAATTTATTTTAAAAAAATAGTATGTGCATTCAGACTGAATGTATATTTTTAATTAACAACACAGTCTACATAGGCTTCTATTTTATGAATCATTGATAAGCACAATTTTGCATTTTACTCTATGAAATCTATATTTATCTAATGCATAAAACACAAGGAAGTTTCAAAAAACAAAACACCAACCTAAGAATATTTTCATTTCTTAATAGTGATATTCTTACCATTCTAAGTGCAAATTTGGATTTACAGCCACATAAATTAAAAATGCTCCAAAAATCAGCAAATAGGTGCCATAATAAATTGCATTCTCAATCAGTGCTGTTTTGATCTTTCCAGTAATGGAAAATCCTCCTGATCTTGCATATGATTGCATAAAAGGTAACAGGATCCTAAAACAAGAAGGGGAAAAAAAGCAAAAAGTACAAAACTACTTAATTTCATCTACTTAATATTTTGTTTACCAGTTACCATAAACAATTACGTATCATATTCTCAAATTAAGAGTTTAAAAGCATATCTAGATGGGTTTGTACCCTTTTCTTCACCAATACTAGCTCTATGATCTTGGGCAAGCCAGTTAACTTCTCTTGATCTTGGTTTCCTCACTTTTTAATGTGTAAAATACCTATCTAGTCTACCTGCCTCACAGCTCTTATCTGGAGACTAAGTAAGATTAATTGAATGCAAATGTGATGTGATTGATTGAAAATGACAAAGTATCATTCAAATATAAGGTACTATTAAATGTGAACAAGAGCAAAGAAATCTGAGATAGTGTAACTATAGTGGCCAATGGGATGTTGTTTTTGGAAAAAATATACTCAACTCAATATATTCAAAGTCTCATTTTTATTATTATTCTTAATTAATAGCAGATATGTTATTTTCCTCATGCTTACATACTAATTTGTATTTCAATACATTTAATGTCTTCGAAGTAATATAATCCCTCTCATAAAGTATTATTTTAGCAATAAATGCTATACATAAGGAGAGGCAATGTAGCACAATACATAGGGATTCCGAATTGGAGTTTGGATGATCTGAATCTAGTTCTGCCTCTGACACATACTGGTTTTGTGACCATGGGTAAGTGATTCAACTTCTTATCTCCTCAGTAACTCTTCTAAGACTTTTAAGTTACATAACTGAGTTGCATCTGTATTAGCAGAAGGAGTTTACACACTGGGAGTTCCACACACCAGCAAAGTCATAGATCTGGCCCTCCAAAAAGAAAAATTGAGACACTTTTGTATCCTAGGATGGAATAGCAGCTACAAAGTTATCATCATTATACTCAAAAATAATAAAGTGGCACATACATTAAAGAAAATACTAAGAAAATACCTAATAAAGAAATAACTTCTGGCATGCCATTAACACTTGGCTAAATCCTAAACAAAGAAATCTTATTAAAAACTGGGGAGGGAGGAGGAAGACAAAAGTACAAACATTCATCACCTACCATGTTAAAAATTGTGATGTCCAATATACAACACGCCAGAAAATTGGCATTATTCCATCAGGGATATAGCTCCATGGCTTGAAACACGGATGTTTTCTGTTTTAATAACACCATCCCCCCGGGGCCCAAGGAAAACAGTTAATAACTGCTCACAACTTAACAAGTCTTAAATTCATTTTATGTTAATAAAAATTGAATTTTCTACTACATCTAAATTCTACTGCAACAACATTTCAGTCTTGTTTTAAGTCATTCCTGTAACACATTAATTTTACATTCAATTCAAAATGACAGTGGCTGCATGATGACTAAAAATAAGTCATCAACAAAGCATTTTATTCTAGCAAAGAATATAGTTTCACCTTGCAGTGCCTGTCTTACTTTAATATTAACTTTTGGAAAAAATACTTTTGAAAATTATTACTCACAAACTTTTAAAAAGAGCTTCACAGAATCAGAATACTAAGGGAAATGGTATAGTAGCTTTAAAATGTTGAGATTCAGGTATTTTTTAATAAATAAAACTATAAAAAAATGCACAGATACATCTTTAGAATATGTGAAGAAGTAAAAAATCGATATATGTTACTGTTTCATTTGGAAGTTTTCTAGAAATTTAATTGATTTGTTAAAGCTACTTGAAAAACTATAAAAAATTGTTAAAATTTGTTTTAAAAATTACTTAAAAATTTAAATTTTTTAAAAAATGTTAAAATTAAAAATACTCTGGTTCACTCTGAAATTTTGTATTCATTCCACTGCTTTTGAATCTATTACCCTCAATTTGACGGGTGCTCAGTGCAAGAGGAATAATCGATGTACTGAGTGAACAAGTTCCTAATGCCAAAACAATGCGTTGCATACTCAAATATTTTTTGCTTGAGTTGTTCATACTCTTAAACATAAAAAATATATCTCTCTTTCTGGGGACAAATAACTTTTAATATGAAAAAAAGTTACTTAGATGAAACTTACAGTAATGATAATTTTAAAAATAATAAGCCATTTTTAGATTTTAAAAACAAAAGTATTACCCTGTAACAGGAACAGCTGCAGAGTAAGATCCAGTTATATTGTTATTTTCCAAAGGGCTAGAGTTGGTAGCTTGTTTGCATCGGTTGTATATTGTCTAAAATGTTGAAAATATATTTGTCAAAAATGAGGACAGGTTATATAAATCTGATTATATTTTTTAAAGTAATCAGATTAATTAAATATTTCATTAAAAATTAAAACTTGTATAAAACATTACCAAATTGAGCTGTTTTTCTTTTTTATATGTACATTCTGAATAGGTTCGTGAAAGTATACGAAAAATTCAGACACAAAAAAATGTGAACTCTTACCGTACTAACATCCAAGGGCAGGATGAAGACTATGAGAAAGCAGAGATACCAAGCAAGTAGTGTTGCTACAATAACAAGTCTATGCTGTTTCTTAAAGTCTCCATATCGATGAAGTATTAATAAAGCCAGAAAAAAGACAAAAACAATCTCAAGTCCCAAAGCTGCACCACTCATTATTGTGTGCTCACTCCAGCCAGTGAAGGCTATTCATCTGAAGATAATGACCATAACTGTGAAAAGAAGGGGGTAAAAGGAGCAACATCAGCATATAAAAATTATTCTTAAGAAAAAGTTATCAGATCTTACTTTTTTTTTTTTGGCAATTGGGGTTAAGTGACTTGCCCAGTGTCCCACAGCTAGTTAAGTGTCAAGTGTTTGGTCTGAGGCCATGATTCAGATCTTGTAAGAGGCAACAGAACAGACTGATTCTACTAACCTTTGGTGGCAGACAATGACAAAATCTAAGCCAATATGCCTTTTCTTCAATCCCTCTAAAATTCTTCCCCACACTCACTGCTAAAGTGATCTTCCCCACACTCACTGCTAAAGTGATATTGCTATAGCACAGTTCTGCCAGGTCACTCCTCAGAAGCAGAAGCTACAGTGGTTCTCCTTTTGCCTTTAGGCTAAAATAAAAACTCCCTGGTTTAGCACTTACAGTCTTTGACAATGCAACTCCAGCTTATCTTTCAAAGCTATCCATATTCTATATTATGGACAAAATGGCCTATCTCCCAGCTCCAAGCCCTTGCACAGGCTTGGAATGATTTCCAGGTTCACTTCTACTTCAGCTCCCTTGCAAGCACAACTCAAATACCTTTTCAAATTTCTCCAAACATTAAGTACCAACCCCATCACAGAAATTACTTTGTAGTTACTTATCTCTTTGCATGCTGTTCCCCACCCCCTAAATCCCAACAGAATGTAAATCAACTCCTTAAGAATAGAAGGTTATTTTTTTTTCTCAGTACACCCAATCCTTGGTACAATGCTTGGAATATCAAAAGTGTTTAATGAATGCTGACTTATATTAGAAGAGAGGCAGCCTTGGATTTGAGATTAGAAATACCGGCATACACAAACCTGCCTCTGACATTTCTTGGGTCTGTTAAAACCAGTAAATCACTTAACTTCTCACTGGCTCCAAACAGTTCTTTAAAATTATAAATTCCAAGGCAACCTGGTAGAAGGAGTTTCCTCACTGGGAGATACCAACAGAATCATAGTTGTGACTCTCCTTCCTCAATAGTCTAACAAAAGCACTTCTACAAATACTCATAAAGTCGTAAGAACTGGACTTTAGAGCTCATTTACTCCAACCCCATATAATACCTCTTCTTTGACAACTATAAAACATGGTCATCCAGCTTGCTGAATATCCTTCCAACACCAAGAATTTATTACCTTTATTTTTTGTAGGGCAGAGTGCTGTCAAAACATATATCCCATCAGACTTAAATTCTCTAGAGGGTAGGGACTGTTTCATTCTTTCTCTAGAAGCATCTAGGTGGTACAGTGGATAGAGTGCTGACTTGGTAATGAGGTGTCACCAGCCTCCTCAAGAGCCATCTGGTCCAGAGGCAGACCTGACTCATATACTCATTGGTTCTGTGACTCAGGATAAGCCCTTCAACCTTTCTTGGCCTCTTCATCAGTAAAAATGGAGGTAATAATAGCATCTAAGGCAGTTAGGTGGCACAGTGGATTGCACTCAGCCTGGAGTCAAAAAGTTGTTGCTCAGTTTTGTCCAACTCTTAGTGACCCCATGGACCATAACACACCAGGCCCTTCTATTCTCCACTATCTCTCAAAGTCTGTCCAAGTTCATTTTTGTTGTTTTCATGACACTATCTATCCATCTCATTCTCCACCCTCCTCTTCTCCTTTTGCCTTCAATCTTTCCCAATATCAAAATCTTTTCCAATGAGTCCCGTTTTCTCATAATGTGATCAAAGTACTTAAGTTCTGGCTTCACTATTTTACCTTCCAGTTAACAGTTGGAATTAATTTCTTTAAGGATTGACTGATTTGATCTCCTTGCTGTCTAAGAGACTCTAAAAAATCTTTTTCAGCACCACAATTTGAAAGTGTCTGTTATGTGGAGCTCAGCTTTCCTCAGTCTAACTCTCACAGCCATACATTGCTACTGGAAAAACCACAGCTTTTACTGTACAGACCTTTGTCAGCAAGTTGACATTTGCTTTTTAGTATGCTGTCCAGATTTGCCACAGTTTTTCTTATAAGAAGTGTCTTCTAATTTCATGATTCTAGTTGACATATACAATGAACTTTGAGCCCAAGAATATAAAATCTGACACTCTTTCCATTACTTCTCCCTCTATCTGCCAGGAAGTGCCACACAATCAAAAACTTCAGTGTAATCAATGAAGCAGAAATAGATGTTTTTCTGAAATTCCTTTGCTTTCTTCATAATCCAGCAAACGTTGGCAATTTGGTCTTTAGTGCTTCTGTCTCTTTGAAAACCAGCCTGCTCTTCTGGTAATTCTCAGTTCAAATATTGCTGAAGCCAAGCTTGCAGAATCTAAGCATAATCTTGCTGGCATGTGAAATGAGTGCAATTATTTGAACATTCCTTTAGATTGTTCTTCTTTAGGACTGCGATGTAAACTGATCTTTTCTAATACGGTGGCCACTGTTGTGGTTTTCTAAATCTGCTGACATATTAAGTGTAGCACTTTAACAGTTTCATCTTCTAGGAATTTAAATAGCTCAGCTGGAATTCTGTCACCTCCACTAGATTTATTGTTAACAACGTTTCTTAAGGCCTAGTGTCCATTTGACTTCATTCTCCAGGATGTCTGGCTCTGGATCAGGAACTACATCATTGTGGTTATCACTGATGTTAAGATCTTTTTTGCATAGTTCTTCTGTGTATTCTTGCTATCTCTTCTTAATCTTTTTGTTTCAGTTAAATTTCTAGCATTTTTGTCTTTTATCATGCCCATTTTGGCATGAAACTTTCCCTTGATATTTCTAATTTTCTTGAAGAGATCTTTGGTCTTTCCCATTCTAGTGTTTTCTTCTATTTCTTTGCATTGCTCATATAAGAAAATCTTATATCTTCTCACTATTCTCTGAAATTTTGCATTCAGTTGGATATTTTTCTCCTTTGTCTTTCATTTTCCTTCTCTCCTCGCTATTTATAAAGCCTCATCAGACAGCCGTTTTGCTTTCTTGCTCTTCTTTTTCTTAGGGATGTTTTTTGTTGCGGCTTCCCATACAGTATTATGAACCTTTGTTCACAGTTTGTCAGGCACTCTACTACCAGATCTAATGTCTTAAATGTATTCATCACTTCCACTTCATATTCATACCATATGTTATTTAGATCATGCCAATATGGTCAGATGGTTTTCCCTACTTTCTTCAATTTAAGTCTGAATTTTGCAATACAAAGCCCATGATTTGATCCACAGTCAGCTCCAAGTCTCAGTTTAACTGACTGTATAGAGCTTTTCCGCCTCTGACTACAAAGTATCAATCTGATTTCTATATTGACCATTTGGTCAATAATAAAGTTATCATCCTCTTCTAGAACAGAGGACAAACGCAACAACTTCAAAGAGGTAGCCTTAAACCCAATTCACCTTGGAGCTCATAGATTGTGCCCAAGCACCACTTAACAGTTATTTGGGGCCCTCCTTGCTCAGAGTGAACATAAATAGAAACAGTTTCTAACCCTAAGGGTCATCCCCTCACAGTTTGATTTTTTTTTTCAAATTAAAGGGGTCATCCCTTGACTCACTTCTTAAAAAAGGCCATTCACTGAAGGGGAGTTATCTCACTAAAAGTAAGAACCTGAGAAGACCTTCTTAGCTTAAAAAGCCAAGGTCTCCAATATCACCCAGGGACAGCACCAGTCATCTGGATATATATCTCATCACTGGACCCAGATGGCTCTGAAGAAGAAAGTGAGGCTGGTGGCCTTGCACAGCCCTCACTCACTCAAATCAAAGTTAAATGCAAGTCATGTCATGATCTCCCTGATGTTATTATGGTCCTCTTCAAGAACGAAGGACAAGGGCAGCTAGGTGGCGCAGTGGATAGAGCTCTGGCCTTGGAGTGAGGAGGACCTGAGTTGGAATCAGACCTCAAGACATATAGCACTATATGTGACCCTGGGCAAGTCACTTTACCCCAACTGACTCACTGAAAAAAAAAAAAAAAAGAACGAAGTACAAACACAACCTGACCATCTGGTGATATCTATATGTAGAGTCATCTTTTGGGTTGTTGAAAAAGAGTGTTTATTACAACCAGCAAGGTATCTTGACAAAACTATTAGTCTCTCTACTTCATTTTGTACTCCAAGGCCAAACTTGTCTGTTAATCCAATTATTTTTTAATTTCCTACTTTAGCATTCCAATCCCCTATGATGAATGCAACATATTTGGGGGGGGGGTTTACTTCTAGAAAATGTTGCAGGTTTTAATAGAACTGAGCAACTTTTGCCTCTGCACCATCAGTGGTTGGAGCACAGACTTGTATTATGGTGATGTTGAACTGTTTGCCTTGGATTTAAATAGATTTCATTCAGTCATTTTTGAGATTTATAACCCAGCATTACTTTTCTCACCCTTTTACTGACTATGAGGGCTATTCCATTTAAGATCTGAGTTCAAATCAGGTCTCAGACACTTACTAGCTGTGTGATCCTGGGCAAGTCACTTAACCCTGTCTGCCTCGGTTTCCTCATCTGTAAAATAAGCTAGAGAAGGAAATGGCAAATCAGTCCAGTATCAGTGTCCAATACTTTATCTTGCCAGGTGATCTTCAGAACCTTCTTAAGACAATTTCAATGATATTAATTTAATGGCCAGAAAATAGAACTATTAGAACTTAAAAAAATTAATCATAGTTGGAATCATAACTGAAATCATATTTATGATTCTCCCCCTCCCCAACAAAGTCTATTAAAAAGCACTTCAAGCTATGCTAAATACAAATACTCATAAAGTCCTAAGAGCTGGAAAGGATCTTAGAGCACATTCTGACCAAATCCCATATATCTCTACTTCAACAACTCTAAAACACGGTCATCCAGCTTCTCTCTGAACATCCTTCAGAGATTATGAAACTTTAAAAATACTCGCTATTATAAACATCAAATAGTGTGCTGTTAAGAAAAGACAAAAGAAAAACTATAAAAATATTCTTTTCACCAGAGCTAGGAACAAAGAACAAACAGGAGTAAGGAAATGATCAATT